ACTTGTCGCTGGGGCTGCTGCTGCTGCCGCTGCTGCTGCCGCTGCTGCTGCTGCTCCTCGAATCCAGCGGCGACTGGCCGCCAAAGGCCACCTTCTCAGCCTCCTCTTCCAGCAGCTGCAGCAGCTTGGAGCTGGGGGGCCTCGGGGGCCCCTCCGCGGCTGTGTGGTCCCTAGAAAGAGAAAAGAGGGGAGACCCAATCTGCAGCAAAGGGCCCTTGTAGGGGCCCCCTGCAGCAGCAGCAGGCGCAGCAGAGACGTTTGCTGTCTCTGCTGCTGCAGCTGGGCCCTTGATGCTCATGAGCGCGCAGTGGCGGGGCCTAGAGGTGACCCTGCTGCAGCTGGCCCTTGCTGCAGCAGCTGCTGCTGCCGCTGCTCAAAGAAGACGCACAATGCAGCGGCAAACTCAAAAGTGGCTAATAGATCTACTCAAAGACGAAGCCTTCACCCGAGAAACACGGCATTGTAGCGCTCCTGCTGCCGTTGCTGCTGCTGCTGCTGCTGCTGCTGCTGCAGAGACACCGGCGACGGTGTGAGGAGACACCGCAGCAGCTCTGGCCTTTCATGCCTATCTTTTATCTTTCATACTTCAAAAGCCAACTCAAGCCTAAACAATTTGTTGCAGAAGGCCTTCATACACCTCAGATGTAGCGCAGCACGAGCTGTGGACCTCTGCTGCTGCTGCTGCCGCTGCAGCTGCTGCCGCCAGTCAACAATAAATCAGCCTCTTCAGGGGCCTCTACTGCTGCCTTCCTTGAAACAAACTTAATAAATAATGTTGCAGTGTGCAGGCAGAAGGGTCTCTTGCTACCAATGGCGCTGCAGGCCCAAGGTCGGCCAAGGCCCGCTGCTGCTGCTGCAGCAGTTGCTGCTGCTGGTGTTGCTGCTGCTGCTGGGAGGAGCCATGTCTCGCAGCTCAGGGTTTGCTCCTGGCTGTCTTCTTGGTATTTTTTAATTCCTTTTAGGTTCATCGTCCTAAAAAGGATTAAAATTTTGGTCCTACGCGCCAAACTGCAAACACACAGCTCCGAAAGCTTCCGGGAGCTTCTCGAAGAGCCCTGAAAAAGTTTGAGTGAGCAGCTCGTTTCCTTGTGTCGCAGTCGCAAATCAAAACAATCAGATCTATTTCTTCGTCTACGTGCTGCTGCTGCCGCTGCTGCTGTGCCCCCCCCGATCCCCCAGCAGCTCCCCGCCCTGGCTAGCTGGAGCTAGCCACCACTGCGGCCATCTATCCAGCTGTGACTAGCTGCGGGTGGCTGTGGCTAGCTGGTGGGATACATTCGGAGAGGCTCAAACGGGCAAGAAGCAAGCAGCAGCAGCAGCAAGCTCGCGCTGCTTCTGTATGTGTGTTTACACCATCGTGGCAGCACAAACGGCACAGGGTAGGGCGCCCAACGATGCAGCAGCGGCAGAAGCAGCAGCAGTAGCAGCAGCGGAGGAAGCAGTAGAGTAGGGGCAAGAGAAACACCAGCAGGCGCGGAAGAAGCAGTAGTAGGAGCAGCAGAAGCAGCAGCAGAAATAGTACTGCCGCAGCAGCAGCAGAAACAGATACGTAGCAGCCGAAGCAGCAGCAGCAGGAAAAGCAGCAGTAGCAGCAGAGGCAATAGCAGCAATAGTAGCAGCATAAGCAGCAACTGCTGCAGCAGCAGCAATGCCGTGTCCCACACTCCGTGGGAGAGGCCATTCTGCTGCTGTTTGCTGCTGTTTTTTCGCTGTGTGCTTTTTCTTCTCATGTCCCTATTCCTGTCTCTGTCTCGACAAAATCAGATTAAACGAATGTTGCAGCTAGATACAGCTACCTACAGCTAGCTGCAGAGATCTGCCCTTTAATGTAGCTAGCTGCAGATGACCTCAGCTAGCTGCGGCTAGGTAGCCCGCAGCAAGATCAACTAGGGTTAGCTGCTGCAACGCGCTGCAGCTCCCTGAGCAGGGGTACACAGATAGAAGGGGGCCCCCCCTTTTCTGGTGAGCAGCAATCTGCTGGGAGTCCCCCTGGTGCTGCGTGCTGCTGCTGCTGCTGCTGCTGCTGGGCGAGGCGCAGCAGACACCTAGAGAGGCTGCTGAGACTTCCTCTCAAGGCCGCGATGAGCTGCACAAGCGACACAGCAGCAGACGCACCAGCAGTGTCACAGCAACGCAGCAGCAGCGCAGTAGTGCAGCAGCAGTGGAGTAGCAACACAGCAGCAAGCAGTCTAGCAGTGGGAAGACAGCGAAACGTCAGCAAAGTCGAATGAGGGGGAACTAATATATCAGGAGAGAGCGATGGGGCACAGAAGGAGATCTGTTAAAAGAAAAAAGAAAAATAAAGTTTGAAACACAAATTAAAATTAAATTCAGCAACAGGCAGCAGCAAGAGACCAGTGGTCACCCGACGTACAGCTTTTAGGGCCTCCCGCTTGGCTGTGGCGTCTGCTGCAGGCAACAGGGGCGCCCTTCTGCTGCTGCTGCTGCTGCTGCTGCTGCAGTTGCTTAAGAACCATCCGCGCAATTCCACAGGAACAAACTGAGGGCCCCAAGACCCTGCCTCTGACTCCGCCTCATGCTGCTGCTGCTGCTGCTGCTGCAATGAAGCAGCAACCGCCTGAAGAACTTTGTCGCATAGCACAACAAAGGCGGAGGCTCGTGACAGCGCAGAAGCTCCGCTGCTTCCGTTGCTGGTGCTGCAGCTGCTGCCGGTGCTGCTGCTGTCGGCGGTTGCTGCTGCTAGCTCTTGCGGAGCAGCAGCAGCAAACGCGGCAACTGCGCATGCAGCAGAGATCAGGCCTCTTGCGCTGCTGTTGCGGGGCTTTCTAGAAAAGTCCTGTGGCTCTGAGACAGAAGGAGGGCAGCAGCAGCAAGCACATAAGGGCCCCTCCATTAAAAGGGCTTTACCCTGAAGAGAGGCTGCAGCAGCTCTGGCTGCTGCTGCCTCTGCCGCTGCTGCCTCGCTGCTGCTGCTGCTGCTGCTGCGGCCTTGCGAAGCAACCAGCAAAGGGGCCCCTGGGGCCCCCAAGTGGCAAAAAAGAAACTCCAAAGCAACAGCAAATGATGCAGGAGGCGAGCAAAAGAGAGAGCAGCTCTCTCCCTCCAGGGCCCCACAGCTTGCTGCGCATTTTGCTGCTGCGGGGGGCCCCTTCGGGGGGCTCCCAAGGGGGGCCCCTAAAGAAGCTTCAGGAACAAGTAAAAGGGGAGGCAGCAGCTCGCGAGCAGCGCAGCAAAAGAAAGACAGCGAGGCAGAGACTCGGGCCCCGTCTCTTGCTGCTGCTGCAACAGATTCGTGCCAGCTCATTGTCTCCTCAGGCCCTTTTCTTCGTGTTGCTGCTGCTGCTGCAGCAGTCCTCTCTGCTGCTTCTGCTGATGCTGCGGTCGTTGCTGCCGCTGCTGCTGCTGCAGTCGTTGCAGGTGCTGCTGCTGCGTTTGTTGCTGCTGCTGCTGCTGTAGCAGTGGGGCCCACAGGGGAACACGTCTGCAGGCAAAGTGGCAGCACAAAACTTGCAAGGGCCCCCCCAGCCTCTGAAAGGCCTGGGGGCCCCCCAGAAGTCCCCAAAGATTGCATTAGGGTTTGTCTTCTTTGGGGGTCTGCCAACAAATAAGTTGTTGTTTCTTGAAGCAGCAACTCCAAGCACAAGGGGCCCTTGAAGCTCAGCCACTTCTGCTGCTGCTGCTGCTGCTGCTGCTGCTGTTGCTGCTGCTGCGCTGCAGTTGGGCCTTGGAGCAAACAGAATGGCTTTGTTGCCTCTAGCAAAAGGCTTGCCAGGACCCGGCAGGAGAGCGCAGCCCCCGTAGGGGAGGGCCTCCTTTCCTTAACTTTGGCCTCCTTTGGGGACCCATTTGCAAGCAGCAGGGGCCCCCGTGTGGGTCCCTGCTGCAAAGGGGGCCCCCCAATGGGCCCCCGTCCCCTCAGTTTCAGGAGGCTGCTGAGAAGGGGAGCAGCAAAGTGCGAGGCCCCCAAAAGGCGAGAAGCAGCAGAGGCCCCTGGAGGCACCCACTCCGCTGCTGCAGCTGCTGCAGCTGCTGCAGAGCCAGGCAGCAGCTGAGTCAGGGGGCCCCCTGACTCAGGGGGGCCCGCCGGCTCTGGGGGCCCCCCTGCTGGGGGCGCTGGGCAGCTGAGAGGAGCGTAAGGGGAAGTTCCCAAAGTCTCTGTTGCGTCTGCTGCTGCTGCAGCAGCTGCTGCAGCAGAAGCGGGGTTGTAGGAAGCAGGGTACGCCTCTCGGGGAGCTTCAGCGCTGCTGCTGCTGCTGCTGATGCTGCTGCTGCTGCTGCTGCTGCTAACGGTATAGAGACGGCCCAATCCGAAGGGGAAGAGACAGCACCGAATGGTATGGGGAACCAGCCGTACCAACGCCTCTGTAGAAGCTGCAGGTGGCGCTGCAGCTGCAGTTGTTGGGTCTGCTGCTGCTGCTGGTGCTGCTGCTGCTGCTGCAGCAGACACGCAGCAGACAGCCGCCTCCCTGCAGCAGGGAGGCAGGCGCATGACGAGCGGCTGGGACTTGTGGGAAGGGACAAAAGGACAAAAATAAATGACTTCTAACAAGGCGGAGATCGAGGCCATGACGAGGGAGCTGCAGATACACCCCAAGAGAGCCGCAGACAGCTGCTGCGGGGCTGGCGGCCAGCAGAAGTGTACATACACCCCAGCGCACATGCTTTTAAACTGACACAAATAAGGCAATCAGCAGCAGCCGGCAGCAGCAAAACCGCAGGATCTGCGGCAGGGACTCGGAAGCACAAGCCACGGGGAGCAGCAGCAGCAAAAAGAGACAAAAGAAAAACCAAGAAGCAAATCGGACTCAAAATAAAACTAATTAATAACATACTTTCGTGTGGGAGAAGACAGTGCCGCTCGCCCGGCAAACAGAAACAAGCGGCACCAGGCAGCAGCCTCTGCTGCAGCTCGCTGCTGCCTCCCAGCGGCAGCAGCAGCAGCACAACTCGCATTTGCTGCTCTTGCTGTTGCTGCGGCAGATGGGACAGCAGCGCTTTCGCCCTCCGCTGCAGCACCTGAGGCAGCAGCAGCTAAACATCCCGCCGCAACAAGAGACAGCCCCCGCGTCCAGAGCTGCAGCTGCAGCTGCTTCGGGGGGTTTGCAGTAGCAGCAGCAGCAGCAGCAGCAGCAGAGAGTGGGCCTGCCCAGGCAGACGGAGGCAGTTGCTGCTGCGCCTTAACAGCCTCAGCAAGCACTCTGCTGTGCAGCGAAAGAGCAGCAGCAGGCAACTGTAGCAGCAGCGCCTGCGCGTCGTAGCCCAGAAGCAGCAGCACCAGCGGGGAAAGCAGGGCAGGTGCTTGCAGCACGTACATCGCAGCGCCCTGCTGCTGCTGCTGCTGCTGCTGCTGCTGCTGCTCTGTCTCATTACTGGAGCAGACGCTGTCTGCATCTGTTGTCAAGTCCACTGGCTCAGTCAAGGGAGAAGGGCTGGGGCAGCCTGAAGTTGCCTCGTCTGCTGCAGCAGGAGCAGCAGCAGCAACAGCAGCAGCACCGTTCGGTTCCTTCGCCTTCACTTCATCTTCGCTGCCATCGTCGCTGATCTCAACAATCAGAGGCTCTTCCTGGTTCGAAAGTTGTGGCGAAACCTCGCTGCTGCTGCTGCCGTTGCTGCTGCTGCTGCTGCTGGCGCTGCTAGAAACACTATGTTCAGACAGTGAAATATGATCAAGCGAGTCTGCAGCAGCCGCAGCAAGAGAAGCCGCCAGGGGGACCGCTACGGCGCTTGTCTTTGCTGGTGCTGCTGCTGCTGCTTCTGCTGAATCATGCTCGTCTCTGCTTTCTCCGCAGCTCCCACGCAACAGCAGCTGGTTGATGGTGCTGCTGCTGCACTGCAGTGCCAGCTGCTGCTGCTGCAGTAACGTTTCGAAAGTCTGCTGCCAAAGGGCCTCAAGCTCTTCAGCATACGCGGCGAGGGTATCTGCTGGGGCCCCGAACTCGTCTGCTGCTGCCGCTGCTGCTGCCGCTGTTTGCTGCTGCTGCTGCTGCTGCTGCCGCTGTAAAATCCTTTGCTGCTTCTTTTTGCTCATCTGTCGCAGAACGTGGGGAGGCACAGCGGTGTCTCCTGGGGTCCGCTGGTGTGTTGCTGCTGCAGCAGCAGCAAGCGAGGCTTGCAGCCGCTGCAGGCAGCTCATGATAGCCAAGGAAGGTTTGCTGCTGGCGCCACCTTGCTGTTTCTGCTGCTGCTGCTGCTGGTGGAGGCTGCACGCCGGTGTCTTGGCCCGCTCTCCCTGCTGCTGGAGCTGGGGAGATCCCTTTTGAATCACCGTCTGCTGCTTTGTGTCTTGAAGTTCCTGCTGCTGCCCATGCTGCTGTTGCTGCAGCAGCAGCGCAGCATTTTTCACAAAGGAGGAGCGCTGCAGTCTCCCGAGCCCCCTTTGCAGTGCTGCTGCAGACAGGTGAAGCAGCAGCCGGCCGGTGCCGCTGCTGCAGCAGCAGCACGCGTAGCTGTGGGGCCCCGTGAGCAGCCACTGCAGCAAAGACACCTGAGGAGTAAGAAGGCACGAGGCCCTGGAGCTGGGGGCCCCCGAGGGGCCCCCCTGAGGAGATGGAGCTTTTAAGGCTAAGGCAAAAAACAGGATTTGCTGCAGCAAATGGCGGAGCTGTCGGGGACAGGAGAAGTGCTGAAGCTGCCCCTGGGGGGCCCCTGAAGGCCCCCTAGGGTCATCTGCTGCCGCTGAGGGCCTCCGGCCCTCGAGTGCAAACAGCACGAAAGACTTCTTGGCTCCCACGTGCAGAGGCACGTATCCCTCTTGCTGCTGCTGCTGCTGCTGCTGCTGGCGAGTCGTCACTGCTAGGTGCTCCTGGTAGTTCGCCGCGGCCCTGGCCACGTAAATAGCAGCAGCAGCAGCAGCTGACAGCAGCGCAGCACGCAGCGAGGGCCCCAGCACTCTCAAGGCCCCCACTGCGGGGTCTCCCGCCCTGTGGGGGCCTGGCGGGGGGGCCCCAGGGGGCCCCCCTGGGGGGCCCCCAGGGGTGCCCCCGGGGGCCTCCTGGCTGTCTTGGCGTGCTGCAGCTGCCTTGTCAAGGGCCCCCAAAGCCTTGGGGCCCACAAGGGCCCCCAAGGGGGCCGCCAGCAAACGGCACAACAGAGACACAAGACATGCTGCTGCTTCTGCTGCTGCTTGCTGCACTGAGGGTGGCCCCTCGTAGTCCAGCAGGTCCAGCAGCGAAGGCAAAACGTGAGACACAAACGACTCC